GTACCAGGAAATCCATTATTCTTCAATGCAAAAGCTGGCGCATCCCTGAAAATTGTCCAATGCTAAAGCGTTCTTAATCCCCGTTTCACATCATGCTTCCGGCTTCCGATGAGCATCCTCACGCATTGCGGAAGCGCAAAATTTGCGGAGTGCCCATTGTGAAACGTTAAAATGTCCATGGAGTTAAGGGGGATTATCTGTATTGCATTGTGTTCCACAAGTTCCCATGGCAATTATATTTTACGATAAAGTATATTTATTTGCAGAACAGATACAAAACAGATACCAAAATCTTTGGAAAGCAGATTTTATAATGCATAAAGCAGAATAAACGAAAATAAAATAGAATGTATTGCGAATTTCAGAATGTTATATAAAACTAAAAAAAGTATACAGAAATTAAAAGAAAAGTAAAAAATAATATGAATACAAATAAAGAAGTAGATATTAAAAATGAGACAATATAAAGCATATTAAGCAAAATTAATTTAAAAACAAAAATTAACAATAAGAAAATTCCGTTAAATAAACTATGTTTAAAATTATACATATATTAACTAGAATAAAACATTTAAAAAGTATAAAATATGTAAAGTTCAAAGGAGTTCGAAAAATCGTTTTATATTTAACGGACGTTAGTATTATTCGCAATAGTAATCATTCATATTCTTGCATTAAAAGGACACATTTCGCGAAGTCTTCGCATTCATATAGTCGTTATTTCCGGTAAAATGTTATATTGTCGAGCGAATTTTTAATTTTTTTTTTCATGACATCCTTCTCGCACCTAGGACACTATTGTTCACGGGAGTACGACGGGTTTCCTAGCTCTGGACCGGACATCTCCGGCCAGGATGTCCGACGGGACAAGAGCCACAGAAGAAATTAAATTTACTCCGTCACACGGAGGGTGCGACACAATGAGCCGGATGAAGGAGTTCCATGTTGACCATCAAAAGCTACCGAGCAAAGCGCTGATAAGTCGCGCTTTGGACGCGTCGCAAAATAAAAATGATATGGTAATTCTAAAGAGTAGAGTCAGACGGAGCTTTTCTCTCTCTTTGAAACTCAGAAAGTCTGACAGACTCGAAAAGAAAAGTATTACGTAAGCTCGTTTCTGATAGCACGTTATAACGTATGGCATAGCGAATGAACAAGTTGACAGTTATTTATTCAAATTGCGGAATTTACCAAATGTTTTCTTTTACTCTTCACTTTTCAAATATTGTTTCTTGTTGCATAGAATTGCCTGATCTTCAGTTGATCAGATGCGTCAAATTTCGTAATTTTTTTTTTGCTGATATAAGACACGGTAAATAGTATCGTAACAACGACGAGAATTCGGCAGTATTTGGCGAGGATGCAGTGGGACGCATTCGGATCGATGCAGAGAGGATGCCGCATCACGTAAGCGAGATTGGTCGGATCCGGTAGCTCGTTCGTGACCCGGGCCAGCTGCGACCTTGGCCCGTATTTCGGAGATGCAGCTGCGCGCGTGGCGCTACATGCACACTCGCGAATGTGTCCATCCGCGTGCATATGTGTGATCGCGGATAATATCGCTAGGGAGTGATATCTCATCAATTATTATATTTTTATTATATTATGCATCAAGAAAGTCGTAATTAATGAAAAATTTAAAGGCTCAAGCAAATTTTAGACGAAATCTCTTTAAAAAAGCAGGGAGTGGATCCTTTAAATAGCGATGGATTCATACACGGAAAGAACAATTTTGTTGAATCCAGATCTAAAAATAATTTTTGTTCAATAATCAAAATAATTTGTGCGAAAGTCAAAATGATTGCTAGAATATCAAAATGTTTTATAGCAATGCTTATCAGTTTTAACATTCTAACAAATTATTTTGATAATTCAACAAAAAATTATCTTTAGATCTGTATTTAGCAAAATTTTTAGACCTTTCAACAAAATTGTTCTTTCCGTGTAATCATTCCCGGAAATGTGTAATCACGAATAAATACTAGCAAAAATTCTAGCCATCGAAAAATTACGTTGCTTTACGAAGCTTTCATGACGTGATTTACGATATATATGTAACGGGACTCAGAGTATGGTATTTTCGGACACGCTCGAGTAATTAAAAACTCGCATTTGCGGACGCGTCGCGAACATCCGTCGCGACACGGGGCACCGCGCAACAAAAATGCATCTGCATTTTGCGGCGCATTCGGCGCGGTCGGCGCGGTATCGACGAGACGTGTCCGACGAACCATGCGAATGGAAAAGCGAACAAGAAATTTACTCGCGGAGAACTTTTCGAACCGCAACGCGTACACGTCAAACGAAGCCGCGGAAAACAAAGACGAGTTCGCCAATCAACGCCCCCGGAATTGTTCCAATCAAACGAGATAAAAATTACAGTCCGTCGAGTACGAGCGAGCTTTGTTTCCTTCGTGATATTTCCCTCCTCGGTGTGCGCACGCGAATTGTCTTTCCATGAACGAGGTGCAACGTCTCGAGATAACAGGACGGTCGGAAAAAAGGGTTTTTTTTACACTGATTAAGTTCAATTAACGTATGAGTCCAAAACGCATCGCCGCAACTTTTAATCAATAACCAATCATATAATATAAATATAAAATATAAAAATAAAAATAACACAGACACCATTTTTATATACATATATCACATTTATAGAAAAATAACACAAGTAAAAAATTAGTATTTTTGAAGGCTTCGAGTCGATTTTCTTTCTTAAAAATGCTAATTTTTTATTTCTATATATGCATATATATACAAATAAAAAATTAGCATTTTTAGGAAAGAAAATCGACTCGAAGCCTTCAAAAATACTAATTTTTTCATTTTTACGTATATTTCGTTATACAATTTTAACATGTCACCTTTCAGACTTGTTAAATTTGATGCCAAGTAAATGTGATGTAAAATAAACGGACAGCGAAAGCTTTGATGTTTAATAATTATTGCGCGCCGGCGTTATCACAAGATCATTAATTAGTAAATGAAAGTAAAAGAAGAAACTCTGAATGGAATTCGAATGGATAGGATATTCGAAAAATAATGTGAGCGGCAACAGAGTCTATATGTGGCTCAGAAAGCTGAATAAATGGACAGCGAACCGACGGCGCACAGGTGCGCGAAACTTTCGCGACGGCTGGTCGGCTTAATGAAATATTCCATTCATGGTAATGTTTAACTGCGGAATGACTTTTAGCAACCTGGCGCGGATAGTCAAGAGTACAATTAGTTGTTCCTCGCGCGCTATTTTTAAGCCTCTCTCTCGATCGAAGTCAAACTTTCTATATCCCATCGGCCGAAGATTTCGCTTTCATCAATGGGATTCTTCGAGCAGCAAATGGAAGATTAGATTTGATTTATTATGTGCTCCACAGAAACAAAATTTCCTCGAAACATTCCAAGAAATATGCAGCGTTTTTAAGAATCTTATGGTTAATTTAATGCAGCATATTATATTCTCTTCACACATATACACACACCTACAAAATTAAAGAATTACTTTGAATCGATTGCAAAAATGAGAAAGCGAATGAAGTATATGTAACTTTTTAAAGTAACGTAAAAACAAAATATCGTGTACAAATATGTAACTTTTATACAGAATATTCCGCCACTGAATGTCATTGCAAAATCTTTTAAGAAAGTTTTTAATGTAAGTTGAAGTTCGATTTTTCATTATTTTTCGTGAATTTCCTATCTTTAACATTATTATATCTTCATAATTAAACATTAAATATTAATTTTGTGAAAGCAAAATTTATTTAAAATTTATTACAAGATATATGATTTCATCTATTTGCTAATCTACTTCTAAAGTCTAATTTGTAAAAAAACAAATTACAATTGTTAATTATTCAAAAACTATTGATGCCTAGATATTTTAGATAGAGAAAATCAACTCTATATATCAAGAATTTGATCTTAAGAAGTTTTATAAAAATAGAATATAATTTCATCGCTTTTTGCTATTTTGTTATAATATTAAAATTGAATAAATAGAGCCTGTATAATTGAATTTTACAATTATTTATTAAATAAAGCTGTCGTCAAAAATACCATTGAAGTAAAGCAATACAAAAAGATAAATCGAATAAATATAAGTACAGAGAATTTAAGACATGCGTGCGAAGAATCGATTAATTGTAAGATTCATTAAAATGCAATGAAAGATTTCGAGGGATAATCCGGCATTGGTTCCCGCTTCGTCTGATCCTCTATTCCGATCGCACGATGTTCAGTGACGACCTTAACCCGAACAGTCCCGGGTACACGACAATGTTGGAGCCTCGTGCGCGCGGTAGTATTCGAGTGGGGTTAACAACGAACGGACAGGTCAATAAGAGGAGCCGAACTGGCGTGAGTAAGCCTCCAGCAGAGGTACATAATGTGTCCGGATCCCATCCCACCTCCACGGCATAGTCGGGCCAATTCGATAAGCCCTTAATCCATCGGCAATTAGCTCGTGCGCACCGGTCCTACCGCAAGCTCTTTACCCTCCACCGGTTCGCGCTGCCTATCGACTCCCTCGGAAACCAGTCCGATACAGTTCATCCGTTTCACTCGGTTTACTTTTGAAATTAGTACCGCGTTTTGTGCACGATTGGTCAACGGGTCGGTTCGATAAATCGCCGACGAGAACACAAGATGGATGCGGTTATTTCAAACGGCGCATTCAAATACGCATTTTTGAGCTTGTAGACTCGCGTTATTATCGAGAAAAAAAGACGAGCCGTTCGTGTAACGTGCGCAACGCGGCATTAAATGAAATCACGTACGAACGGACGGATTGTGAGAGAGGGCGAGCTCGGTGCATCCCGAAAGTATCGGACGTGACCGGCGATTCGAGTCCTGTTTTATGTTCGCGAGAGAGGAACGGTGGCGGATACGTCGCACCGCAATCTTCGTAAAAGGATCCGCTAGATGCTGACCAGAAGCGGCCGCGAGTCTCGCGTGGAGTCTCGTAAAAAATAGTCAGAGAGGAAAAAGAGAGACGGACTCACCGTGACACATCCTCTTGGGAAACTGCCCGCGGTGTCCCGGTGCCGTGCAGAGCGAGGGAGGACGCGTGGCGTGATTCCTGCGAATACGGTATAGCCGCGGTGTTGTTTTCCATCACGGACACGGAGCCGTTCTGCTTACCTATCAAACAAAAAAGGAATATTATTAGTGGAAAATGCGTGTCATGCAAATCATCAACAAATCCCGCCTGCTGATGTTTTCTATTTCTGACACTATTTCATTGTATCTAAAGGATGTCGAATTTGTTTGATAGTAAATATTTACCTACATTCATATATACTCGTCTCTATTTTCACGATAAATAAAATTTTTATTATTAACAATTAGTTTGAGACCATGTCTCCAAGGACAAACAAATCGCGCAATACATGGAAAAAACGATTTGCTGGAAGGTGTAAAAATTTTGTTGGATCTGAAAATAATTCTTGTTGGACCAACAAAATAATTTTGTTGCGGAGAATCAAACTGATTGCTAGAATATCAAAATGGCAATGCTTATCATTTTTGTGTTTCCAACAAAATTATTTTTAGATCCAAATTTTTTTATCTTCCAACAAAATCGTTCTTTCGATGTATGTAACAATTGTAAGAAATTAATGTTATATATAGAAAATATGGTAGAAACAAAAAGGAAGATAAAATATAATCGGAGATTATAGTATTGACAAATTAAAAAAAAAATAGTTTTATTTCTTGATATAAATAAAAAATTAAATTAATTTTAAAATTTTCTTAATTTTAAACATGCTTGAATAGCTATTATTTGTAACGATAAAATATAATATAATTTTACTTATTATTATTGTTATTACGACTTTGTATTGCACGCTGAAATTTTATTTATCCTCCCGCAAGTAGGTATTGCATAAAAAAGCATAGATGGTACATCGAGATAGAAAATAGCGGTCTCAATCTAGAGCGGACTTGTTTATTCGCGTCGAGGTGGCTTCTCCGAGAAACTCCCGGCTGCGCCTGGAGATTAAAGCAAATATTCGGATAATCCCGCGGGGCACCGATATGCCGCAGCATTAAAGGGGCAATTTGAATTCAGTCGGCATGAAACCGCCGCCGTCGAGCCCGCTTTTTCCCGCTCATATCGAGGTTGGGCGAAACTATAACGCTTGTACTGCACTGTTTTTCCCTCCGTAGAAAAAGTAAATACGGAAATATTACTGCGGAATAAAAATGCGGAATAGTCACGACACGCAGCACGACGTATCTTTAATATCTCGAAAAGAGATCACCCTTCACCTCTGGTATAACGATAAAGAGAGAAAAGCCCACCATTTCACAATAACAATCGATCTTTCAACATATGTTTGGTAATTTTACGCGCAAATACTTAAAGTAACTTTGTTAATTTACAAGCGAGACCGACGAGGACCGCTTCTTGATATCGCCCTTTTCCCGCGGCCATGGAATTTTAAACATCGCACTCTCGAGATTTCCCCGATCGAACGTTTTCGACGCGCGATGCGCTGCATTCGTAGCACACGCGATAAACGGAAAAGGAAGGAAAGCCCGTCCGCGAGCTGCGTTTTCGGAGTGAGTTTTACGAGCTCCCGTTTTACGAGACTGATGAATAAGTTACGGCCCGATCGTCAGTAAAAGTCCGGATGACGAGGAAGACCCGCGGATCAAAAATTCATTTCCGCACCTCTCGACGCGCGGAAATCGCGGGAGTTTGTCCTCCCTTCCCCCATCCCTGCCCCTCCCCCGCGTTTATTTTCAACCAACGGAGGGGTTACGGGAGCCACGGTTGATTTGAATTTCAACACGTCGCGCAGACGGCTTTGAATAATTAATAGGATGCCGTAATTATTTCGATCGAGATCTTGCGATAGAAAAGTGGTGACGAAAAATACGGTTAGACGCGACGGGGGCGGAGTGACGTTTCTTGCGCATAGAGTCGGTTATTAAAACGTGCACGGGGCTGGGAATCTTCGGCCGTCCTCGTCGCGTAAATCATGGACGATGAAATAAAATCACAGATTTCACGCTGCAATTTTATTTCGTCGCTTGATTGATAGTCAACGAGATTGTCTTCGCGTTTATATTACGCTAAGCGCTCCGTCTTGAACGTATTGTCCAGTAAGGGGAGGGGAGGAGGCAAATAATGTCACTTTAAATTTCTCTTCTTTCCCGCGTCTGTTTTACCACTACTCGTTAATAGAAAGACAATTCTCAAGCATCTAATCGTCTTTTGAAAAAGCAGTAAAAATCAAAAGCCAAATATAGCTAGCGGGGAAATTAAAAATTTTGCATTCGTGAAATCATGTAAAACCTGGATCTTTTTTTGATATTTAAAGTTATGTTTTCTTAATTGCTGAATCGTTGAATGAGATCTAACCTATTCTATGTCATACGTATCTTTTTCCTCTATTTTGATATAATTTTTATGCTTGTATATTAATTTTATTTCTCTCAGTAAAATTTTAAAGTAAAAAGTAGCTCCTAAGGCAAATAATGACAATTTTTAGTTGGGAAAATAATGATTAGTCAAAAAGCCTTTTTAATATTTAAATATGATTTTTCTAATACATTTGGAATAATATGAGATTAGTCACAAGGCAAGATCCATAATAAATGTGATTTTTAATAAGAAATACTAGCAAATAAATTACTACTACCATTTATCAATAAATAAATAAAAATTTACATATGGCAGAGTATAGAAATTAATATAAATTACCTTATCTAATCAAAATATCAAAAGAAAGATCGATTGGGAGTTAAGAATTATATATTTTGTAATTGTCTCATAGGATGTAACTATTTACCTATAGGTGGGGCAAATAGTGACAAATGTTCAGTTTTTATGATAATCTAGCCCGTATACATGACTTATGGAAACTCTAATTAAGTTTTTTGTATATTTAAAAGTGGAAAGTACTCTTTTAGTGAAAAATCATATCTTGTAAATTTGAAATTAGAGAAAGAGAGGAACAAAAATACGTCCCTATTTGCCCCTCCTTCCCTTACATGTTTTATTATGAAAGAATTCAATGTACGAAAATAATGATTTTGATGAAATATCCTAAATTCAACCGGAAACAGACCTGAAAATAATTTTGTTGAACCATCCAAATAATTATGTTGGAAAAATTCAAACGGGTTGTTAGAATATACAAATTTTTTGCAGCATTACTCATGAATATTGAGTTTCCAACATAATAATTTTGATGATCCAACAAAATTATTTTCAGGTCTGCATTCAGCTAAATTTCAGATCTTTTAGCAAAATTATTCTTTCCATGTAATCTTGAAAAGTATAAATTAAAGCACTGTATTTTATTTATAAGATCTGTTTTTTATTCAACATGTAATTAAATTTTAAATAAAATGTTAATTTTTAAATCACTATTTGTTATCAATTTTTTCGTGATGTTTCGATTTTAAACAATAGAAACAGGCAGAAAAATTAAGGAAATTTAATAACTTACGTGGCTGAGGCGAGAGAGAATTGTCCGTCGCTATTGGAGGAGGAGGCGGGGGGACGATTCCACTTTCCGTCTTGGAAACCAGAAGGACGACGCGATCTTGGATCGCTTTCAGGGTCGCCACTGCCTCTTCATGGGTCACATTCTCCAGATTTTTATCACCCTGCTGAAATCAATATGTGCTCGTCTTCGATAATATGCACTTAACATTGACTCGCTGACGATCAAAGGCAATTCAAACGTTGCCAAAGCACCTATCTCTTCATCGTAAATCAAAATTTAATATATTACGTCGTCAACGATATACAGAAAATAAATCGCTAAAAACTGTCGTTTGCATCCCCGCGTGAAATCGCATCGCCAAATGTCGAACAGACAGACGTAACGTGAACGATATACAATACATTTTTACGATTATGGCTGGCAAGTGGCAACGACATTAATTCCCTGCACGTTTTATTCATTCTTCACGCGGATATTATCCTTTGGGAAATGTCTCACTTTTCCCATCTGTTTATCGAGCAACCAATCCTCTTCTCTTTTAAGGAGAAGAGACCGTTTCTAAGACACGAGCTTGGCATAGTCATGCGGCGCACACAAACGATTCAATCACGATGTCATGAGCCCTTCGATAATTGATTTTCCCCATTCAATTTTCCCCTGTCAACCGTAGTCTCCTTCCATCTTCTTTCGCTCCCTCCCTTGTTCGCCCAATGCGATTGTCTTCCTTAAGGTACTAAGAGGCAATCGGTTGCCTCTTATTATTATCGAGTTGACACACATTGGAAGACTAGCTCAGAAACGCTTTGCTTCCCAGTGGACCCTTAATCCGCTCGTGAATATTCGCATCGTTTTAAATTAAACAGCAAATAATAAATAAATAAATAAATATATATATATATACACTTATAACTCTTTATGATAGAATTTAATTTCCATTAATCCAATGTAAAATAAATCAAAAAATTTGAATAAATATCACGGCAATCATCAAAATTTTATTTTTATTTTAATGTATGATGTATACAATTTTAAATAATTTAAATAAGTCGACATAATCGCCACTTAAGTTCAGCATCATCTGTGATGAAACTATATTAACAAATTGTACATCTAATTAAAGAAGTATAAGATTCAACGGTCTCAATACTTTCAAGCGGTAAATATTGATGAGTGAGATCGAACAACCTCATTCTTAAAGAATCGGCGCGGATAGGAAAAATAGATTAGGACGGTTTTCCAAAGCACCGCCGAAGTAATTGATAGCTCTTCCGTCAGCGATATACAGCTCCGGTCGACGGCAAGTCGACCTTCGCTTGTCTACGATTTTTCGCTTCAGCGATTTCACCACCCTTTAAGGCATCTATCTGGGAGTTGCGCCCAAAAAAAGCGCCGATTAAAACCACCGAACGGCCGGCTTGATTTATGACTGTCGCCGGAGGGTGAAGTGCGCGCATATACGATGGAAAGGCACTTTCTCTTTCTCTCTTTTATAGCATGAAAGTGCATTAAAACATTTACCTTTGTTACCTTTCAAGAGTGATGGTCGATGAGTAAGAGTCTAATCACGAGCGTTGATTTTTCCGCTTTTATACTTATTTGAACATAATTTATTACAAATATGTTTTTTCTTTAATTTTTATAAACTAAAACGTAGATATAACAAATAAGCAGAGAAGAATGAGGCATCAAAAACTTAAAATAAATTATTTTTTATTGTTAGTAAAATTGAGGCAGGTAATTTAAAATTATGTTACATGATTTACTAAAAAAAAAACTTAAAAAAGAATTTTTATATCAAAAATTTAATTAAATTTTGATTCACTTTCTTGAGAGGGACAAAGAGAGAGAGAGAGAGAGAGAGAGAGAGAGAGAGAGAGAGAGAGAGAGAGCGAGCGAGAGAGAGAGAGAAGCGTTTATTATCGCTGTAAGGTATGTTTTATAAAGAAAGGGAGAGGAAAATAAGAGAGAAAAAGAGAAAATTTTTAAAATTTAAAATTTTATAATTCCAAGGAAGAAACTCGCGGCACGTTCCTTGGGGTTGTCAAAAACACTTTTAATATTTTTTAGCAATTCCACTGAACTCGTATCACAAATTCCTTTCACTGGATTACAAAATTTTAAAATTTATTATGTAACGGCAAGAAGGAACGAAGGGAGAGCAAATCGAGACTCAATTAAATTTTCGGCATGGAAATTTACTCGCAATCAGTTGTTTATACGACAGTGTCCTGGAACTTTCTTGCCGCCCTACGTTTCATTCTCCCGCGTGGCGAAGTAATTATCGATCGTACGGTAATTAGTTTCGGCGCGCGTAAGCCCGAAGTTTTCGGGAGTAATTATAAAACTCGAAATGACTCTCGCCCCTCTCCCCAGACTCCCTTCGATCGTAGACGCCACAATTCGTTTTTTTTTCACAGCGATTTAGGTATATATGCGTTTTACGCTCGCGAATTTATTTTCTACGCTTTCGAAGCGAGGAGAACGTTATTTTGTTTCTGTTTTAAACTGTATTCTGAAATCGATAGAAAATTCACGATGAGGAGATACTCCGACTTCATTGGAGTGGCAGTCAAAAGTCTTATCTTTATGTATTCTCATGATGTTCCACGCGATCCCATGAAATCTGTCATGAGTTCCATTTATCGTTACTATAAAATTTTAAAGATTATACGGATGAGATCTCTTTTGCGAGATCGACGTTTGATTAAACTTTCGGCAAGAAAATTTTCCCAATTTACGAAAGTGTCCTAAAACTTTTTCATAGCAGTCTGTTTTATTCATGTAATGTAGTAGTATTTTAAAATTTAACATATTATATTAATTCTTTAAGGGATGCTGGTGTGACGACCGAATTCCGTAGAGTCGCTGTTTTGTCGACGATTTGTACATAGGTATGTATGCATGCACATATTAATATAGCAGTTTATAGTAATGTGTTTATGTTTACTACCACTATCAATATTTCACGTTTACATACGCACAATTTGTAGACTGCCAAAAATATTTTCGTTTAGACCTCTACTAAATTTAATTCTAACTAATTTACATATATTCATTTCTTTATTGTACATCTGGCTCTGCCTTTATTTCGAGCGTATAACCTACATAACTTTTCCACGAAGTAAACGTTTTGGGTAAATTGACAGCATTAGTCGCCATTGAGGTAAAAATGGATAACGAAATCTATAATTTCTCAATTTTTTCTTGCTTTTGATACAAAGTACACCAGAGCCAGCTACATTAGCATGTGTGTTTTAATCGTAGAAAAGGAATTTTTATTCTATGCGATTAATACGAAGTAGTTATAGGAACAAAAATGGTATTTCTATCGGTAAAACAGACGACACCAACATTCCTTTAAATAGCAATTTAACAAATATTGGTTAGAAAGTTGGTCTTTTCGTATTTTCACCAAGTAGAGCGAAAGACTCAAAAGAAAAGACTTTCTGACCAACCTGATAATATGTGTAACGTATGCGTTATGAAGTAATCGGCCTCATTTTCAAAACAATTGCTATCGCGAGATAGGGTCACGATCAATTATGCATCAGCCCCAGAAAATGTGATCTATTTCTCTACATTTATCTCTTCAGCTTCTGAAGAGAGAGAGAGAGAGAGAGAGAGAGAGAGAGAGAAAGAGAGAAACAAGAAATATCGCGAAAGGACAGTTCCGCGGTGCTCGTAGAATGAAAAATGATCGCGACTTCATTTTTCTGTAAACACGTGCCACTTTTCGAATGTAAAAAATTACATTTTTCGACATATAAGAGGAGCTTACGACGCTTTATCCTCGAGACATTTATTGTGCGATGTTACGTGTAATTCAATGCCCTATCTCGTATTTATAATGGTAATGTGACCCATGAAAAATATGATATCTCTGTCTGCCGACTATGGCGCCGATAATTCGGCGAATCAAACACGACGCGAAAGACAAGCGGCTTGATATGTTTACTTACCAGAGCGTTCCTGACGGCTACCAATTTATCGCCAACGACGAGGCGGCCGTCCACCTGCGCGGCCCCGCCGTCCATGATTTTGGTCACATAGATTCCATTGTCACCTGGTATATGTTGATTGCCGATACCGCCGGCGATGCTAAAGCCAAGGCCCTTGTTACCCTTGATCAGCTCGATTTCCATCAACTGCGTGTGTTTCCGTCGGCGCACGTACTGAAAATCGATGCGCGAACATGACGTTAATTGAGCATGGGAGGGAATAAGGGAAGGCTTTGAAAAACATCGCGGATGGCTGATCGACGAAGTAAATTCTACGAAGTTCAAATTTTAAGCGACGTCACTTTCAGAAGCGTTTAAAAAAAAAGGAGCTCCGCGCGCTTTTTCATTCCCGGTGTAACAATGAATCTCCACGTAATTAAATGCCCGCCCGATAGCTGATCGGAGAGATATATCCCCTTTCAAACTACTCTCGTTTACTTGGTGAGATTTATAAAGTGGATTTGTTCCTGTTCGACGCCATTCTCCTTAAAAGCCCGTTTATATCGCTACTAAGGTGGTTAATTAAACTCTGCGCGGAAAAAGCATTGGCAGATGTGTTTCGATTGCCGATTGAAATGTTTTATCGTGACGTAAACGTTTAATTTTCACTAAAATTGAAATATGTGAGAAATGTGTTTCCTCTTATCATTTATTTTCGTTGATTTTATAAAACATAAAACGATTATACACGGAAAGAACGATTTTGTTGAAAGATCTAAAAATTTTGCTAAACACAGATCTGAAAATAATTTTTTGTTAACTCATCAAAATAATTTGTTGTAATGTTAAAACTGATAAGTATTACTATAAAACGTTTTGATATTCTAGCAATCACTTTGACTTTCGCACAAAATTATTTTGATTATTGAACAAAAATTATTTTCAGATCTGGATTCAGCAAAATTGTTCTTTCCGTGTATAAAATAAAATCTTCTATAAAAAGACTAATTTAATTTTTAACAAATGTTTTAATGCGTGTACAAATCAAACATTATATTATTTCGATTATATAAATTGTATTAATTTAATAAATATAATAGAATATAACGATCTGGATTGAGTAAAAATTCGCATTTGATGTAATAATTCACTTAATCTGGAATTAAATTTAATTGCAAGTCATTCATAAATCGAGATTGCAAATCGGATTTGCCTATGGCGACCGTATTCCTGTACTAAATACGCGTTTACGCGCAACGAGGGATAGCTGCGACTTTATGTCAGAATAATAATATCTAGAATGGTCCAGCCGTAAACCGTTTTATGTCTTCCTCCGTCGTTATTTCCATCCTGGCAGGGTTAATAACGCGCGGATGTTGGCTCGGCGACCTCTCGAGTACCTCAAAAATTTCAACGGTCCTCGAAAAAGTTGTTACTTCCGAAATAATAATTTAATAGAGCTCTATGCTGTCTTATCTGAATTTTTGAAAAATCGGAATCGCTAGTGACTCCATCATTCAGAAAAATACTTAATTAAAGTTTTCCGTCTTCGATTTTTTACGTACCCATCATCGGCCTTCTTCCCGCGGAAGGAAAGATACAGGCGGCAATTCACCTGGGGATTTTTTTTTTGAAGGATGACATTAACGTATATCCGAGAGGGGTATAACGAACGATCCCATCGAAACTTTCCCTCATCCCTTAGCGACTTTGCTGGGCTACAGGAATCTCGAAAGGCCCGGGTGAGTGATCGTCGCTTCGGGACTTTTCTCAGGTATAAGCCGAAGATATTCGACGCGTCTTTATGACAAATATGGAATCTGGAGAAGGCCGTCAATCCGGGAACTTTCCGAGACTTGAAACATTGCCGTGAAACTAAAAAGCTCGCAGTTATACTTTGACGGAAAAACGGAACAAGGAAAGTTCAACGCGATGATAACGATATGCAAAAGTCATTAAAATGATATCAATTTGGAGTCTACGTGTCTGGCAAACCGTGCACGAAATATCATCTCGATATCTTTTGCTTTTCAACAAATTGAAATGTTATATATATTAAATAGATGATAATACACCGATAACGGTGTTGCTTGAATACACAGTTAATTAAACACTCGGTTCGTAAACTATCGGCAGGTAACTGAGAAATTGAATATGCATACGCAGGTTGAGTTTAACAGCAGAAAGCACACGCATTACAGCATTTGCAATTCAATTATTCCCGACACATTCGTCGCGCAATTAAATCTGCGCACTTGAGATGTACATGTGATATGGCATGTGATCACAGTAACAATGTGCTGCCATGGCACCGCGGGTACGATTCAATTAAATTCGAATTTGAGATTTGCATACGTCAGTTTGTACAGAGTAGATACCGTGCGCAGCATCTTTAATACGTCAGTTAACGTTTGTCATTACTGTCATTAGTTGGCTGCGTCTTCTGCCTCTCAATGTTTTAACCCGGATATCTCTATTCTATTTCATTCTTAATTGTCAGCGTGTCACAAAAGTATTTATATTGCGTTAAACAATTTGTTATCTTTTTAAATTGAGATGTTACTTTATCAACATGAATATACTTGTATTAAACTGTCGCTTGATATTGAGCGCTTGTAAGGGCCTGCCAATGCAACAAAGCGATCTGCCGCGATAGGAAGGAACAACTAACTTGCACGCGACGCCCGTATCGGCGCACCGAGGGTTTGGAGGGTGGAGGGTGGTGAAGCTTACCAGTTTGACGGTGTTGCCGGCCCGCTTGAGCGCGTCTACGGCGGCCGCATGCGGTACGTCGACAACGGACACGTCGTTCACCTGCAGTATCGTGTCGTTGACACGCAGCCGACCGTCCGCGGACGCGGCGCCGCCCGGTATGAGCTTAGTGATGTAAATGGCGGTATCGTTGCCGTAATGGGGATTGTCCGTGCCGCCGGCAATGCTAAAACCTAGGCCCTGCCCGCCCCGCTCCAAAATGATGTCCTCGTAGTCCCACTCATCGTCGCCGTTCACCTGGAAGCATAAACACGCGCACTTATAGTGTTATCTTCATCCACTCCCTTTCTTTCTCTCTTTCTTTTTCTTTCCGTAATTTTTTGTATATCGTATAAATATCATGGAAAGAACGATTTTGCTAGCAGGTCTCAAAATTTTACTAAATATAGATCTAAAAATAATTCTTGTTGAATCATCAAAATAATTTTGTTGGAAAGTTAAAAATGATAAGCATTTTTAACTTTCCAACGAAATTATTTTGATATTCTAGCAATCAGTTTGACTTTCTAACAAAATTATTTTGATTGTATAAAATTATTTTCAGATCTGAAACCAGCAAAATCGCGTTCTTTCCATGTATAATACACTTTCGGTATAAGAACTTTTCAGCCGCACTTAGGGAATTTAATTTTTTTCAAACGGAGTTAGAATTAGCCTCATGCGAAAAGAACGATTTTGTTGAAAGATTCTAAAAACTTACGTTGGACACAGATCTGAAAATAATTTTGCTAGACCATCAAAATAATTATGTTAGGAACTCAATATTGATAAACAATGCTGCAAAATATTTTAATATTTTAGTAATTGGTTTGAGTTTTCAACATAATTATTTTGATGGTCTAACAAAATTATTTTCAAATCTATATCCAGCTAAAATCTTTTAGCCAAATGGTTCTTTCCGTGTACGAATCACAAGTACAAGAGTAAGTGTAAGCATTAACTGTATATACCTAATCGAACTTGGAAGACACTTATTGATTTTTGTCGAAAGAAAAGATTTGTTTCTTAGTGGCTAAACTACTGTATAGTTGTTGTAAAAATGAAATAGTTATATAGGGGGTACTCTCTAAAAGTGAATCAGTGGAATTATCTCTGATTTTCAGTGTATATCATTTCTCAGTGGCATACTTAGAAAGTTAGAACTGTGCATGATAAACAGAGACTATTTAAATGTTGTTTCAGTGATAAAATGTATATTGATTGTTCTCAAAACTGATAGTAAAACTCACTATCTTCCAGTGATGTTCACTGTTTGAATGAGTATATTATTATTGAAACGACAGTGAAATAGTCACTGTTTATCACAATTCTAAGTATGTCACTGGAAAATCATATACACTAAAAATCAGTGATTCCACTGATTCATTTTAAAGAGTATATGATTGAGTATTATGACCGCTACAGATAATATGAGCAACCTTTATACCTATTTCTGAGACGATTGGTACTAGTAGTGCAATCTGCTGTGAAAAGATGCATCTGTCTTCATAAGTACACATCCCAGTATGCTACGAAATTTATTTATTTCGAAAATTTATCGGATTAAATAAGCAAGTACGTTATTTTCTTATTTCTTACGTTTTTTTCCTTCATTTTATAAGATTTCCAATCAATGTACATTGAAATAGGATATCTTATTCTACACATCATGGTTCGTAAAATAAATAACACTTAGCTGTCCTATCTTACAAATTCCCAAGACCATTATTGGTTTGCTAGATATGGAGATTTTTCAAACAGTATGCCACAGTATGCATAGTTGACTATTATGAACATGCTCACATTATCTTACAGTAATCTAATATAAATCGTCAACGTTTGCTAATTGGAAAATAAATTGTCTTTTGTTATTTTAATTATTATTTTAAACTAACAATATAAAATTCTAATTGAAAAGAGCTTTTTTCGTCTGGTGGATTTTGAATACAATGTATAACATGCGAGCAATGGATCCATGTAGAATGCACAGAAATCGATAAAAAAAAGTCAAGGTCTACATTTGCGATTATTATATTAATAGATCATTTTGTGATAAGAGGATAATTACATTTTAAACATTTTATTTTTGTTAAAATGTTTTAGTACCGTTCAAGTAAAAAGTTATTTTATTTTCTATTAAAATGTTAAATATTTATTCTAATGAAACGTTTAAATATTATCTTTCATTTCTGAATAATTTTTTTCAGAAAATTTCTTATGCTAATATTGCCTTAGGGATGCCCAATATTGCACCAAGAGGTTAACATGAGCACTGAATGAGTAATAAGAACGTCTCCCCATTTCAACATTTGCATTAAAATAATCAACTCCAATACCAAAATACATAAAACATCAACAGATCTATCAAATGGTAGGAACAAAATTTTTTATCTTCTTTTTATCTCTAGTATATGCAAGAAATATTAAAATGTTTTCTTAAGGTGCTCATCCCAATCCTACCCTAAGTATTTGAAATTTGGCGAAAGCGAGATAGAAAGTTTTAACGCAATTTAGTGCAGCGACAAAGAACAGGCCTAATAAATTCTTCTGGTGAAAGTCGAGGGTTAATGACGACGTCGATGGTGTAAAATTCATAATTCTAATTGCGCGGGAGACTTAAAGCCTCTGCACGCCAGGAAGAGGTTAAGCGGTTAATTAATTCTGAGACCTCACGTGAGAGTAGATTAGGTCGTGCAGTGTCCCGATCGATGGCGGTCAGTTACGCGGAGACAAAGGAGCGTCGTTTAAGCTCTCGACACCAGCTGACGCGGGCCGTACGATCGAAACGCTATATTTCTATTATTTTTCGTCGGAGAATGCATTTTGTTCGTATCGCGTGCGGCATACAGGATGATGGAAAATGAAAATGCCTGATAAATACAGGCGGTATACGCCTCGAAGAAAGAATTAGATTGGTTTTTTCAACGGTTCACTTAAGTGACGTGGTTAAATGAAATATCTCGTGATATTTGATATCTCGGAGTTACGCACGATCAGAGACAGACTCTAACAAATGGAGTTTCGGACATGCTTATTTATTGGTTAATTCCATGAAAACTTTATCTCGTTATAAGTTTTCAACGCACGTGGAAAATTCTGAGAGGCGTGGTGTTTGGTTGGCAAAGAAGTTCGTTATCGGAACACTCTAGCATATATTAAAAGACTCCGTCATCCATTAACTTTGGGCAACACTTTGGCGTGTGACATCGTTTTACTATTCTATAACGACGGGATAATTAAAGAAGATATCGGTCGCGTCAGCATAGGTTACTGCCGCGTCTACACGGAGAGAATTTTCTTTTAAAATTTACCCTGAAAATCATGTTAATTGTGAGACAATATAGTATTTAGGTAAATTTTACTATGCACTACAATAAATTTTACTGCAAAATCTTATTGTAGTGCACAGTAAAATTTGCCTAAATACTATATTGTTCTATAATTAACATGATTTGCAGGGTAAATTAAAAAAAAATTCTCTCCGTATATAAGTTGCACATTAAAAAGTAAGCCAAATAAATAAGAATACATTAAATTAAAATAAGCCGATGCAAAGAAAAAAGTAAACTAGATTTTATCATCGCAAACAAAAAAAAAGAAAATAACATTTAAAAATATCCTTTGTTTACGTTCATGCAGCACGAGAATATATCGCGAAGAATTTTTTAAAATCGTATACCAAAGTAAATAACCGTTGAATGTTATGATTGTTTCTCGTTAAGAGGTTTCTGTCATACACACGCGAGTTAATTATATTAGCAGCGGAAAAACTTACGTACGATTAATGCGATTGCCAAGCGATTGTACGTTTAATGAAATAACACGGATTTCCTTTAGGAGAGCAACCACCAAAGGTTCTTCACGTATGCGCGATCGCGCAATGCAATTATGCATGATCCATTGGAGTGCAAAACCATTTTAATCGGATCAAAAGCCAACTAAGCCGTAGGATAATATGCTAGAGACATGTTCCCGCAGTACGACGCATTGCGTATCTCCGGATGTATCAGCGCGTTACATTCACATTCGCGTACGTGCAATTATGATACGTTCAGAGCAACATGATTCAGCGAAATGCCTTAAGCTAAATATCGTAAATTGTTAAATTTATTTGATATAAGTATAACATCGTAATAATATCAATAATCAACCGACATTGCAAATTATATCTTGCATCATAGTGCATTATTTCAAATGTATTACAAATATTTCAATTGTTAACAGATTAGAATTCATCATTATTGTAGGATCTATCAAAGTTACTATGTAACCACGGAACAAAAGATATTCCTATAAGTATATACCACAAATGATCGAGCGTTAATTGTAAGACACGACCATGTCTTCTGCAGATGATATCAAAGTCGTTATACGCGAAACGAAAGATCAAATCTTTTCTAAACTAACGTTGATTTCGAAGCTGTCATTGTCAGCGTTGAACACGTCGTTGTCAGCACGTTAAAGATTTTAAAAAAAATGTAACCCATTCGATGCAACGTAGGATTAAAGACACGAGGTCGATCATCATCGCAATTATCCATCCACGTATTTGCCATTCCGATCGTGTTACAACACAAATGGATAGTACGGAAGGCGAAAGGATTCGTGCCTCTACATTCTATCTCTCTCTCTCTCTCTCCCCTTCACCCCTCTTCCTCTTACGCACGCGCGCGCGCACGCAAATAGGAATGCACCCCTGAACGCATTCCGATGCGCTTGCACCGGCCGCGCGTATCGAGACAATTCGCCGCGCGCAAATTTGACGCACGCAATGCGATGCCCGATGCATATTGCGGTGATCGCGAATTAATCGCGTTGGAATTATGCTATTCCGCTAAACCTCCCTCGGCCCCTCCGTCCTCTAAAACGCGACACAGTAGCCATGCAGCAACGAGCGGTGCATTCGTCAACGACGCGCTCGTCGATTCGAGCGCAGCCTATCAACGATGCGTCGCGGCAATTATGTCCGTGCGAGAATTAGCCGGCGATTAGCGACGCGATTATATGACAGCGCTAATTAATCGTATGCAGCGAGCGGGGCGACGGACCGCGGGGGGAATCCGCACTTACGCGCAATGCACAATGCGGTAACCAGCTGCGCTCATCGGACTTGTTTGACGGACTCGTTACTGCCGTCGATTAAGTGATCCGCGTGTTTCGCGTATGCTGTACTTTGTATGCATCGTAATTCAGATTAATAAAAAAAATTATCGTTTCTATAATTCTGTCGATATAATAAAGTGTTCTTCTTGTGAATT